AAAGTGTTTTTGATTCATATGATCGTAAACTGAACATCTATTGGTTTCCGGACGGTTGGTCGATTGAACACAGCCGTGTACACAAACCTCCACAGTGGGAAATTATCACAGGCACTTTTATAGACAATCAATTAACCAAATAATCTGCAGGTCGATAATGAAAGTAATCGTTAGCTGCATCCCTAATTAATTTGTAATTGTTTTTTAAATGTCTTTTTTTTTGTCGTCCAGTTAAATATCAATTAATAGAATTTTTAAATGGTCCTTCACAATCTCTATGCCAATACTGCACCACACTGTCATTTCCTTCCCTACATCATTATCAGTGTCATGCTGTGCACACTCAGTAATTTATATCAGGTCTAAGGCTCCGGCTCCTGATAGTATTTTTTTTATTACTTAGAGCCGGGGCTCATGGGGAGTGTGGGGCCCTCTGCTTTGCGGGGGCTGGGGGTGTACACTTCATGACCCACTTCAGATGCTGCAGGTCAGGTTTTCAGCAAAAAACCTTGATGCATCTCCCAGCTGTGTGTGTTTCGTACTTTGATAGGTCATATAGCTGAAACACCACGAGTCTGATGCTGATGAAAGGATTAAACATGTTCTTATTGATCGGCCTACTGGGTTCCTGCATCATCCACAGGGGAGAACATGCTGCTGTCGGCTTGTTGTGGTGAGCTGTTCAACAACGCAGTGAAATGTTTCTCTCTCATATCGAGGAGTGAAGTTTCCTCAATGCACACAACCTCTTGAATTATTAATGTTCACAATCGAAAATGGGTTTTCGAAAATTAGACAAATGACTGCAGTTGAAAGATGCCTGTTTATATATCTGACGATCGTCTTGTTAATCTGTGGGAACATCTGTCCGGTGTCCAATATGTCATGTGATACGTTCGATATTGGTGGTGACCAGTGCTCTGTAGCAGCGGCACCTGGGACTCATCAACTTCACGCTGTCGATCATGACAACAACTGATTCTCTTGAGGAATCAATGAAAGCTACATCCTGACCAAAAAGACCCCAATCAGCAAGAGGTCATGAGCGTCATCGTTTCCAAGCATTTGTGCTCGTCCAGACTAAAATGCAGCCCTGAAGTTTTCAAACTGAAACGGGGCTTCGGAGTAGTGTGGACGCCAGGCGCAACCGTAGCAGGGTTGAAACATGCGGATGTAGCCTGAGTCCTGCAGCCGCAGCTCAATTACTGCAGGTCACTTTGACAGTTTAACGTCCAAACTGCAACAGGCATCACAACAGGCCAAGAGCACAGCGAATTCTAAAAGAGTTCAAACTGAAAGACAAGCGGTTACATATCTGACGGTCACCGAGCTCTCCTGGAGAAACATTTACATCAACCTCTTGAGGTTATTTGGAGGTTGTTTAAATAATTTCAGCCCCTGATCATCACACTGTATAATAACTGTGCGATTATCATAGTGACGTTAAAACATCTGCATCTGTGTGTTTGTTCTCAGGATCCAGTCCGGCTCCTACCTCAGCACCGGCTGGTTCACCCTCATCCTCGCCATGGACATGTGCAAAGAGATCCATATCTACGGCATGATAAATGACACCTACTGCAAGTAAGACACCGACTGTCACCCCCCCCCCCCTCACATATTGGGATTAAAAATGCACATATACCTACACAGTTTTGAAGGCTAGATTCACATTCATTGCAGCGGTGGCCAATCACAGTCTCCCATAACCGAGGTCTACCCCGTTGGAATATATTTCCACTGCCTGTGTTTGGATTTAATGGCTGAATTTCTATGCTGAAATCCATATTGGGTTCTCTGCGCCGTGAATACCATTAGGAGCTCCTGCCTCGAATACCCAGCAGGCTGCAGAGTCTCCATCGCTGCGGGTGGCTGCTGCTGCACCCAATTCCCCCTCTGCATAAAGTTTTATTTGTATGTCGGCCTGTCATCTTCTTTCTGACTCCTGGCTGAGTGATTACTGTCTGGCTGAGAGGCTGCAGGGGGGGATGACAAACAAGATGCTGTTGCTGTGGGCACGGCTGTTCAGTCAGTCATCTCAGCCTTGATGGACTCCTCCTTTTTTCCCTCCCTACGTCTGCTCTCCGCTCTTGAGCTCAACCTGAGCTCTCCCAATCCCCCGAATCAAACGCTTCTACCTAATGCACGGTGAAAATCCAGGCTTTTATCCCCTCCGTGTTCCCCGTGCACAGCAGGGGTTGAAATAAAAACTGCCCCAGACGCAAGGCACAAGAGAGTGATAATTCAACCAGCGCAGAGGATTTTATAATTCAGTGAGGCAGTGAAGGCCTCCTCATTCTCTTTCTCTGCCCTTCACTCACTTATTTCCTTCCTTCCTGTGTGAGACGGGACGATATTGTGTTTCCCTGAGTTTCCGAACGGACAATTTAATGTCACACAAAGTGCTGTTGGCAGCCGATTGCTCCAGTACAAGTAGAAAAAGGGATGTTTTGTGTGATGATGTTCGGAGCTCGAGTCTGAATTGACCTCAGCAATTGAGCAGTAATGGGACTTCAACAGGTGCAGAGGGTAAAATTGAATTTATTTGTTAGCGCTGGTGCGCGCGGCCGCGTGACACCAGGAGAGGGGCGGCAGTGACAGGGCTGTGCGGCGGCGGCGGCGGCGTCTGCTGGCACACAGCCACAGTCTGTCTGTGGACTGACTGGCTGCTGTTCTGGCTCTTTCTCTTCTCGCTGTGTTCATTCTGCCAATGAAATTGTTTCACGAGTCATCCTCTCATAAAGTTGTCACTCGCTATTAGAAAGCAAGCACAAAATACACAATGCATCTATTCCACTGCACCTGTTTATATTGATTCTGCATTCTTTTTATTGGTCTGAGGATGCAAACTGTAAACAGAGCGACTCATGAAATTCAGGTCAGAGTGGCAATAACTCTGCGTCTGTACATTACTCACTGAATGTTTTCTGATTCACTTTGGCTCCGAATAGAATTGAATCTCATCACCATGTTTTACAAATAAGTGAAATTTGGTTAAAGGAGTGTTTATTGAACACTGGTCGCCAACAGCAGATTTTAAATTGAAAAACCCTGCTGAGGTACAGAACTTTTCACAGAGCAGCTTCAGCTCACATTGCTCAAGGACCTTCAGTTTTAATAGTTTATTCATTTAGTTTGTAAACCTGAACCACATAAAACCAAGGTTGAATTTATACTAATTTGTCTTAAACTGTCTGGAAGAAAAACACTTCAAATGAACGTAATTCATTGATTAAATTAGAATTAAGTCTAAATTCGGGTTCATCCTAGTTTGGCCCGGGGACTTTCTCTCCGTGTCTGTGGAGGTTTTCTCCCACAGTCCAAAGACACGTAGCGTTAAGTTGATTAGAAAATCTTAAGTGACTCGTTATAGGTAATGGATGGAATATGTTCAGATCTTTAATTGAGTTACAATGACGACCAAACACAATCTGTGTAGCGAACATCTTTTTCCGAGGCTTTTTTAAAATGGGTTAATTAACCTTTCTCTCTGCTCGCTCCTCTGTAGGACGGAGGGTTACAGAAAGGTTCCCTACCACTACTATGAGGCCGGCAGCCGGGACGAGTGTGCAGAGTACGTGCTCCATGAGAGCGCCCCCTACGGAGGACACCGTTTCATCACAGAGAAATCAGTGTTCGCCAAGTGGGCCAAGACTCACGCCATCAAGTTCTTCAACCCACCGTGGCAGCTGTCGTGACCCTGGCTGAACCAGCAGGGAGATACCACATCTTCATCATCATCATCATCGTCAAAGACCAGCTGAATCTCTACACCGACAGAAAGCATGTTTTCTAATGTGCACAAATATCAAATTCAGCACATGGCTCTCTCCATATCTTTCTAAAAACGTTTTGTTTAGGGCTGATTGGTTCAAGGCGGTGCCTCCTAAATCCAGCCGCTTGTGTGTTTGACAGATTTAAGGTCTGACCAACGCAGACAGAGAAATCATATCTCCTGCCTCTTGAACATTTAGTCCTTTTCTCCTGCAGCTGAGCGCTGAGGCAGGTGCACAGCGCTCAGCTCTGCACTGACTAATCGATCCATTCGCTGCTCTGTGAGTTCAGCAAAGGATGGCTCCAACACTAACTAAAAAAAAAAAAAGAGGGGAGAAAACAACATGAAGAAGAAACAAGCATCCGTCAGCTCGCAGTGTCCTCAGCAGCTCACATGTCCGCAGGCGCTGTCCATCGCAAAGGCTAAATTTACATTTTCATTCTGCAGGACTGAAGTGGAAGAGGATCTGAGGCACTGCAGAGACGAGTCACGTCGATGTCTGACGGGCTCGGCCGCACCGTTTCCTCTGCGTGACGGTCTCCTGTCAAGCTGTAATTAATCTATAACGAGTATAATTCAGGCCTTCATCTCTGACTGAGGGAGTATTGAAAGCAGATTGTCTGTCAGTTTTCATTTTCTCTGCTTCGTTTGAAGATGCTTCAACAAAACAAGGTCATTTGAAAAAGAAAATACAAGTGAGCAAAAAATAAATAAATAAAAAACGGATTTCAGTTGTACTCCAAAGGTGAAACAGAGGTGTGGATGTAAATCTTCTTTTTATAGTTTGGTTGTTATGCTGTGTCTCGACTAGCACAGCTTCAAGATGTCAGCTTTTTTATATAATGCTGTGAAATTGCATTTTAAGAGACATGTTTTGGCGTTTGCTTGATGTCCAGATGGTTTTCTTATTTATTCCGCACTAGGGATAAGTTCCCGACGCTCGCTAAGTGAGTGTGCCATTGACAGAACGAGCATCACAGCATATTGAGCCATGTGCAATTAGAAAGCCCATCCGTACGGAGGGAGAAAAGTCATTTGTGACCCTGCTGAGGGAGAGATTAATGTGTGCGGTGAAACCATTTGAAGTTAATTGTATTGCATTATCATTTTGTGCCTGTAATATACTCTGCAGTTCATTGTATGGCGACAGGAGAAGGTGTTCACACTCCTGTGTCTCGCTCCTCTCTCGCCCAGCTTTGTGCCTCTTTGTGTACGGCATCACCGCGTGAACACATCATCCTCTTTGTCTTTGGACGCAGCGTGCGAGGCTGCAGCTCCGGCTGTTTTACATTTGAATGCATCTGTTCCAGGACAGTGAAGAATGATCAGTGAAGTGCTGAGGTGTGTAGGTTGGCTGGTAGCTGAGGTGGGCTGAGACGCTCTGGCTGTGTCCGTGACTCCCTCTCGTTCCTGTGATTAGTGTCCCGGTCAGAGCCGCGGCCCGGGGGGGCCGAAGGAATTCTACGACTTCTTATTTAGGCGACGTGATGCACACGGTCCCTGAGGACTGTGATTTTTGCTTACGACCACATACATTTCTCGGTAAGCAGTGATTTAAAGGACAGAAGGTACGAAGCATTCTGGGTGAAGTTGGGTTAAATTTAATGTAGAATAATTCTCATGATGTTTTCACTAGTTGGTTTCATCTAAATTGTATTAACTGTAGTTTTCTTTGCCCCAGAAAATGTCCTTTATATTTAAATCGAGGGGACCCTCTCTACGGAGGCCGCCATGTTTTTTACATTGGTCCAGACTGAACAAACTAAACACCTTTTGAGTTTTTATGAAAATTAAAGGTTACCACAGGTTCCTTTCCATGTTTGGAAGGAGAGGGTGAGGTGAGGGGTGTTCAGCTGCAACATGACACTTCAACACCAGATATCACAAACTTCTACACACTGAACCTTTAATGTCAAGAAGGAACATCCTTGTGCACTTTACAGAGGTTGTTAAATTGCGAGCATACATATCAACTGTGCAAACGCCTCACAGAGACACGATGTAAAGACCCAGATGAAGCTTGTTCAGCTCAAACACTTCTGTCAAATTTAGCCCAGTTTTGACTCAGACGTCTCGACGCACATTGACCTGCGTGTCACCGGAATCGTGCTCGCTGGAGTTTTGTTTGTCTGCCGCATATTTAGAAGCGTGTTTGACTTCTTTCCTGTCGAGAAAAGAAAAATCTGTTTTCTCCAGACAGAGCAACACAACCCTGCGCAATAGACTCTCCTACCAACTCAGAACTCAACACCCGTCCCTCCTGTTGTCACCTTGTCGCTCACTGAGACTCGACCTGTCTGACGAGAGCATCAGCAAAATGTAAAAACGTCCTGTTTTAAATTCCTCCCCGGTGTCGCTCGGCAGATCCGAGCTGGCCGTAACACATTGCAGGGTCACGGGTCGGATTTCCTCCGGGACGACGCACGAGCTCGAGATGTATTCAGTCCCAGCACAGCGAGCGGCTGCGGATCCAAGTGTCCGACCACATGATGTATGTAAAGCAGAAACATCTCACAGGGTTATTTCTCCTGTCCAGAAAGCCTGGCGATCCGAGCCGGGTCTCAGGGAAGAGTTTGAAATGATACTTGAGAAGACTGAAGCGTGAGTTCATACACCACATTTCCACTCAGCCTGTGATTGTGCAGTTGTCTGGCGGCTCCCCACCGATCAGTTTTACCTCTCACTGTACAGAGTGGCCACCATCACTTGTAAAAAGCCTCACGCCAGCGTAAGAAATTAACTTTAGCATGGAGAATCATTTGATCTGATTTGTAGATGTTACCTGTTTACTCACAACTGGAATAAGAGCACTGAGTTCCCTCTGTTCATCCTCCTCATGTTGTTGTTTTAAATAATGGTCGCTGTATGGGTTTTTTTTTTTTTTTTTTTGTCGATGCAGTGATTTGTGTGCAGTTTCCATTTTCTGCTGCAGGTCGCGTGTTGCCAACACATTCTGCTGCTTCAGGCTGTGCACTCAGTTATTTTCTGATCAACGAACACTCCCAGAATACACTGCAAGAACGTGTTACAGTGGATATTAAGGTGGATACGCCCTCTTGTTGGCTCCCGTGAATCATTCACGGTTCACACATTCGCTCTGTGACGCCAGGATGGGAATACATTCCATATATTTCAGAGATCATTATTATTGTTTACGATTCGCAGATTTCATTTCCTTTACCCGTTTTTTTTTAACTCTTTATGCTAAGCTAAGCTAACTGGCTATAGCATCATATCAAACTTACAGACATATGAATGTTGTCAATTCATATATCGTTAATTATCAAACTATTTCTTCAGAGACATATTCTGCTCATAAGCAGGTCGATCATTTTGATGTTGGTTCTTGTTTGGAAAGGTTTGATGCTCAGTTAACGCTTTTTAACATTCGAATGAGTTTATATTCACTGAAACCTTTATAAGTCACCCTGAAGAAGCATCATATGTCTCCTTTAACATTTTTGAATTCTTGTTAATCTCAGATTTTGGCCACTTTGTTTTCAACCACAGTTTGTATTGATCATTAAATGATCTCATCTCATGCTCTGAGCTCTGACGCTGGTTTAAGCCTCTCAACCCTCTGAAGAAGACTTTACTCTGTCCCTCGCTGTGTTGATGCAAACGGTGAAAAAAGAAAAAAAAGAAGCTGCTTTGGCTGCTTGGCAACCGAGGTGGTGGTGGAACGAGCTCCATCTGTTTGCTCATCCAATAAAAACAAAGCAAATTGAAGGTCACTTCGCTTAAAACAGAGACTGTTATTGAAACTTCTGGAACTCGAGGACTGTGGAACAATTCACCGTTTTTTAAATGCTCTCATTGCTTTGGCTCTTTTTCCAGCTGTGATCAGTCGAGGTAATTGCAGAGGAAATTTGGACTTTTTGATTTGAAAGAACTTTTGATTGTCTGACTCCGCCTCGAAACCTTTTCAGGTCACGTTTGACTCATTCCCTCCTGACTCTCGTACTTGTTGCCATTTTTTTTTTTTTTTTTTACAACTAACTGACTAACCCAGAGTAGTCACAAGATTTCACCGGGCTTAATTGTCTTTTTTTTTTTTTTTTTTTTAAATGCCTCAAATGCTTTTCTTGAATCGGGAACTTTGTTCCGTTTCTCTTCTCCCGTTGTGCATGTCTTACTATTATTTCTGTGTCGTGAAGCACTTTCCTTTGTTTTGTTTCAGGTCAAGTGTCCTTGTGAAACGTGTAACTTTGAGTGTGTTTGAGTTACAAAGAATGTAATATAACACTGAGGTGGTTATGAAGTATAAGATAAGTTGTTTTTGCTAACACGGCTAACACACTCCTTTTTATTGGTGGAAAAATAACATTTAAATGCTGCATGGATTATTGCAGGTTATTGAAATGTATACGTTCTGTCGAAATAAGTAGTGATTATATGTATTATTCTGTCGTTTGCTGTCTACATTAGCTGAAAATAGATGTGATTGTTTTTTTTTTTTTACAGCTGTGGATTCTGTCTCCTGTGTCTTTTATTCACTGTGGGATTAAAGAGAGCCTAAAAGCCCTTTATATGATTAACTTCCTTTCAAAACAAGGCGGAATAAGCAGCATCCGAATGTGAGAAACCTGGTGAAATGTGCTCATGTTATATAAATGGAGCTCGAGCTGAGCTGTCGTCTCAAATCCGGGGTCTCATGAGATTTTTCAAACATCAGTGGAGCAGCAGCGATGTGCTGACTTCACACAGTTCCACGGAGTTTTCCGCTTTTTATGTAACCTCTGCATAAATAAACACCGGTTTGAAGTAATAATACCTACACTCAGTGTTTTTATGTGACAGACATGATAAAGAATTAAAAGGGGTCCAGCTCCAGCTATTCGTTATGGTGCTTTTATAGATTTCTATCCAAGGTCATGCTCCAAAAACACACGAATGATGCAAGTTGACTGTAGATTATTTCTTCTTCTCCCTCTCTGGTGTGTTCCCACTTCTTTGAGCTCCAAGTTTATAGTTTCACTATGCTCATATGCAGCAACATGGGGGGATGGAGCACGAGCCATTGAAGAAGGACCCTTTAAATGTGATGCTGATCTGGTCAAAGGGGCAAATACAGGAATTTGTTTTATCAATACGTAACAAGATTTACTTCAGTTTTTCAGAAATTAAACTGTGGATCTCTAAAAGAAATCGATCTATTTGTGTATTAGGGATCCATGGATTTGTACAATTTGGTTCTGATAATCGTACAACTTCCTTTCCCATTGATTTTTTCTATTAAGAAGAATGACGGACGTGTGTGGGATTGTTTGGCCTTGGCGGAGGTATGTGCTCTAGTGCCATCCTGGTTCTATGGTGAAATTAAAACC